TATTATATTAAAATAATAATAAAATTAAGTTTGTAACATAACTCAGAGTTTCACGCTATATGCGATTATCAGACGTTACAAACCATAAAAACAACAAAAAGTATATACAAAAATATAATACAGTGTTTACGTAGATGGCGTTAAAGCTGCAGATAAAAAAATTGTTTTCGTGGCGACATTAGGATATTAATTCATTTCGTTTATTTAATATTTTCAAAGATGATGCAATGAGATATGCTATTTTACCGTTAAACAAAGGTTACATAACTTTCTTCCGGGTTTAATAGGTTCTGCCCTATCAATAATTTTCCACGTAAGAATAGGATTTGAAAATCCCTTTTTTTTTATTTCCTAGATATATTTAGAAAGTTCTGTGGCTTAGCTTTACTTTCGTATTGAACGGAATTCTTATGCTTGAACATGCGATCTTTAAAGGTGTGCTCTGTTAAACCAATATAATTTAAACCACTATCCGGTGGTGATGTTTTTACATTGCAGACGTAATATATATTTTTACTAAGACAAGTACCTTGCAAAGGACACTGCAAAGGTTGCTGGCAGTTACACGTTGGAACAATTGTGTTGGAAACATTTGATAATATTTTTTTATTGTGTGAGTTTAAAATATTGGTGAAGTTTGGAATACAGCTTTAACTGATTTTTAAATTATTCTTATTAAAATTTTTGCGAAACTTTTGTGTTTTTGGAAAATGCGTTTCAATTTGATTTAGAAAAGTTTTTGCGACGTTGGATTTTATATTTTGCAAAAACGGAGGAATAAACTAAATGATTTTTCGTGATCTTCGTTTTGGTTTCGGTGGGGCGAGATTTTTTTGGAAAGTAATCTTTTTATTGAACCCACTTGCTGCTAACGCATTGTTATAAAACGATGTTGCTCTATTGAAAACTTCTTTGCTAGATGAAATATTGCTTATACGGTTAGATATCATAGTTGGTATGGATTTAATTATACTAGAAGAGTGGTTTAAATTTACGTCGATGTATAATGGGTGGTCACCTGGTTTTCTGTATGGCTGGAAAGTATGTTCTAACAGGTTGAAGGTAACATCAAGAAAGTTTACAATTTTTAAGTTTGTTTTGATAGTAAGTTTTAGATTAAATTTCTCCTTAAAAAGATGAACGATGGTTTTCTTTATTCTCTCGGATTGCGGTCCATTAATTCCATAAAAACAACAAAGTCCATCATCTCTATATAATACAACGGTTTTCAACCCATAGTTTTGACTTAGAGTATGTAAAATAAAGAGTCCAACTAATTCACACACTTCCGCCCCATCGTAACTATCCATAGTGACGTCAAATTTAGAATCACCAAGTTTTTTGACCCAGATACTATTGTGTTCATAATGTGGAACCAATTTATAACGTCATCCGTATTGTTACTGATTTACAAGGGTGGCTTTTTTCACTTTATTGTTAATGTTTTGGAGTAAAATATTACTAAGCTTTCCAAGTTCTGGTTTAGATGGATTAATTAATCGACATTTTGTATTGTTGACAAAATCATCTTTGAGATCCTTTATAGTTATAAAACGCGGTATTTATTCCAAGACATTCCATCCTGTTGTCAATACCTAAGTTTTTAGCAATTACTTTAGCCGCATCCTTAATGTGATTATACTGCGAATTATCAGATTTTTTGTAAGTTTTAATTATGTTTTCATTAAAAAATTCATTGTAAGTAGATTTTTCAAGCTCGTAAATATTATGTGATTTATCCGCAAAAAGAAATATTTTTTCTGATGATTTAATTTTGCTGTTTTTGAAACTAGTTGTAGGAATTAGTAAATGAAATATTTTGCATCATTTTAAGTATATCGTTTTCGAAATTTACTAGATCCGGATGTTGCGGTGGACATTTTCTTGTTTTAAAATTAAAGTGGTAATTTGGGCTTGGTTAAGATTTTTCTCGCAAATTATGGCAAATTATGAAACTCTGAGTTTTGTTAGAAATTTAATTTTATTATTATTTTAATATAACGTAATATAATATATATATATATATATATATATATATATATATATATATATATATATATATATATATATATATATATATATATATATATATATATATATATATATATATATATATTTATATATATTATATATATATATATATATATATATATATATATATATATATAAATATATATATATATATATATATATATATATAAATATATATATATATATATATATATATATATATATATATATATATATATATATATATATATATATATATATATATATATATATATGTATATATATATATATATATATATAAATGTATATATATAATATATATATATATATATATATATATATATATATATATATATATATATATATATATATATATATATATATATATATATATATATATATATATATATATATGTATATATATATACATATATATATATATATATATTAGGGTTATGACTCTTTGACTTTTTACAAAAAAGTTATTTTCCTGTGTCATAAATCGATGAACTCTTGTTATAAAACATTGAAAACAAGTTTAATTCATCTCGATTGCAGAAAAAGTTCACCCCGCAATTCATATTATGTTTAGTCATTTATTTATTCGTGTTACTGCTACTACTAATAGGTCTGGTTTTCCTAAAATCATTTAAAACTTGTATAAATAAGAGATTAAACATCTTTTTAAAACATTAGAAATTTTGGAAAATAACAGAATATTTTAGAAGACTTTAGAACATCCTAGAACAATTAGAAACATTCTGAAAAAATTTAAAACATTCTAGAACAATATAAAGTATTAGACCATTCTGGAATTTTCTAGAACATTTTAGACTATATTTTTTGTTTAAAAAGACTGCAATTTGTAAGTATTGCATTAGTGAAAAAAAAACAAAAAACAAAACGAATAAAACTTTGTTTTTTTTTAAAGACATAAATATAATTAATTTAATTATTTTTTTTATCGTTAAATAAATGGATAAAAAAACTTTACCGTACATACTACGCATGCATCACAACTGTCAAGCATCCGTTCATACTGTACATCAAAGATCAGCCTAGGGATTGCGCACACGAGAGAGATAGATATATCCATCTCATTTCACAAATGTAATTATGATGTTATTAAAAAAAAAGGTCTTTAGTATCTATCTATCATAATACGGATCTCAATTGTGCAACAATATGTGTGCACGAAATTCAAATTACTGTCAAATTCGTGTCTGGTGTTTTCCCTGTCTTCTGAAGTGCCGGAAACGGCTAGCAATATGCGCGCGTGAAATTCAAATCACTGTCAAAAATATTTTAAATATTTAAAATTATAAATTTAAAACAAAATAATCTAATAAAATGTTTTAGAAATACAAATGAGTAGTTGATAAAGTTATACGAGCAAAGCTTGATAAAATACAGAATTGTTATGATAAATGTGTCAAGCGGGGAAGCTACGAACCTTTTATTACTAAAGTGGATGGAAACATGGTTATCTTCCAAAGAGAAGCTATTGTACCATCTCCAAGCAAAGGAGCAGTGAGATAATCTACGGGCCAAGCGGCCAATAAAAAAACAATCAATCCCTCTAAAAGACAAAAACTTTCTAACTTACTATCCTGGTTTTAGGGATTCTGATTCTGAGGCTGACAACGGTGAATATGACAAAAATGAAAAAGAAAATAAGACAATTTCTATACCAAGTAGAAAACACCATTAAAACAAAATTGCAGTCACAAAGAGAATCAACAAACAAAGCTGCTTACATAAGCAAGCATTTGGGTTGTGAAGATATTGCTATCCTAAATTCATGTCAATCAGCTATATATATGTCAACAATCAAAGAGGCAATCAAGCTGAAGAAAGAAATAATTGAAAAGTGGTATATGGAAAGTTGGTGCTTACTCTTTGATGGCAAGCACATCGACAGAATTGATTATTAAGTGGTTGTCCATAAAAATGAAAAAAGAGAAATCAAATTGTGAGTCTTTGGCCTGGTAAATGGTACGGCTATAAATATTGCTCAAGGAATTTATAAAACCTTTGATGAATTTCACCTGTGGAATTCATTACAGATGACTGTTGCTGATACCACCAGCTTTAACACTGGAAAAAAGAATGGTATTGTTGTAATATTGCAACAAATGCTGACAGAGAAACGCATCAACAAATCTCAGTTTATCAGTTGTCAATAACATCTATTAGATGGAATCTTCCGTTAGGTAATGAATGAAGAACTTGGAAGTAAAACACAATCACCAAACATCGAATATCCATCTGTATATCAACTGTTTAAGGAGTACGAACAACTGAAAATACAGTTTATTGATTTATATCGAATGGTTAGGCAGACCATTGATTAACAGACCAACTGTACAACAAAAACGACTTTATTAACTTGGATGAAATACTGAACCCATGCAAATTTGCTTTAAGTTCTTTGAGAGAGCCTTCGATACTCCAGTTACCCAGAAGAAATCAATGCGCCGAGCATGCAATCAAAGTAATGGAAGAAATTATTTATAATGAAAAAATAAAAACAAATTGCACCTTCGATTCCTTCTGTGCAACAAACAGTAGCAAAGTCAACGGTCTGAGTCAATTTTGGATTGAAAATTAGTGTATTACATGACTATGACATTCTAAATATATTTTAATAAAAAGAAGAATTTAGGTCAAAATTGATTTTTAATGGCTGTGTGAACTTTTTTGAAAAGATATGTAAATAAAAGTTCATTTCGTGCTTTTTAGGTAAAAGTTTATTAAACTACAGTTCAGGAGCGTGAGATTGATAAAATGTCATAAACCTTATATATATATATATATATATATATATATATATATATATATATATATATATATATATATATATATAGTATATATATAATATATATATATATATATATATATATATATATATATATATAATATATATATTATATATATATATATATATATATATATATATATTATATTTTATTTTGCTTTTTTGATTTTAG